TTTTTTTTGCATCATTGACTCTGTACAATGGGTGAAGTAAAGTATCTTCAATAAATGCTGTTGGGAAAACTGAATATCCACGTGCAAAGAATAAAATTACATCCGTGCCTTATACCATAAACAAAAATTAGCCTGAAATGAATTAATGACTTAAATGTACGATCTGAAACTAAAACTTCTTCAAGGAAACTTAGGAAAAAAGCTGCTTGACATTGCTCTTGACATTGCAATGACTTTTTGGATATAACACCAATATCAAAGACAACAAAAGCAAAAATAAATAAGTGGGACAACATCAAAACTATTGTAGGCCAGGCACGGTGGCTCACACCTGTAATCCTAGCTCTCTGGGAGGCCGAGGCGGGCGTATTGTTTGAGCTCAGGAGTTCGAAACCAGCCTGAGCAAGAGCGAGACCCCGTCTCTACTAAAATTAGAAAGAAATTAATTGGACAACTAAAAAAAAAAAAAAAAATTAGCCGGGCATGGTGGCACATGCCTGTAGTCCCAGCTACTCGGGAGGCTGAGGCAGAAGGATTGCTTGAGCCCAGGGGTTTGAGGTTGCTGTGAGCTAGGCTGACGCCACGGCACTCTAGCTCGGGCAACACAGTGAGACTCTGTCTCAAAAAAAAAAAAAAAAAAACTATTGTAAAAAGCTTTTGCACAGCAAAGGAGACAGTTAACAAAATGAAAAGGCTACTTTTGGATTTGAAGAATTTGTTTTCAAGACTTATATCTGATGAGTGGTTAATATCCAAAATGTGTGAGAAGCTCACATAACTTAAAAGCAAAACAAAACAAAAAAACAACACAAAAAATTGGCAAAGGACCTGAATAGATATTTTTCCCAAAGAAGATGTACAAATAGTCAGCATGTATGTGAAAAAGCGCTCAACATTACTAATCACGAGGGAAAGGTAAATCAAAACCCCAACAAGCTATCACTTCACACCTGTTAGAATGAAAAAGACAAGAGATAGCAAGTATTGGTGGGAATGTGGGAACCCTGTACACTCTTTGTGGGAATGAAAATACGTATAGCCATTATGGAAAACAATATGGAGATTTCTCCAAAAAGTAAAAATAGAACTATCATATATTCCAGCAATCTTACTATTTAGGTATATATCCAAAGGAAATGAAATCATCAAGGAGATAATCTGCACTACAGCGAATATTGCAGCATTATTCACAATAAGTAAGATAAACAACTTAAGTGTCCATCAAAGGATGAATGGATTAAGAAAGGGGGTTTTGTGTGTGTGTGTGTGTGTGTGTATATACGAAAGATTGAAAACAAAAAACAGGCCAGGCACGGTGGCTCATGCCTATAATCTTAGCACTTTGGGAAACTGAGGCAGAAGGTTGCTTGAGGCCAGGAGTTCAAGACTAGCCTGAGCAGCATAGAGAGACCCCAGCTTTACAAAAAAGAGAAAAATTAGCCAGGTGTGGTGGTGCACACTTATAGTCCCAGCTACTGGAGAAGCTAAGACAGGAGAATCGCTTAAGCCTAGGAGTTTGAGGTTGCAGTGAGTGAGCTATGATGACACCACTGCACTCTAGTCAACAGAGTGAGACCCTGTCTGACAAAAACAAAATAAAAAAGAAATGCTGAGGGTGTTAATTTTAGATGAAGATGACGGAGTTTAAGATATTTTGTATATGATCTTCCTTTGGTATGTTCAAGTTGAGATGGCATAAATATTTTAGCTTCTCTTCCCGGTGTTTTTGATTAAAATATGTCTGTATACAAATTAGCATGTGTGGATAAATAGATTTTCTTAAAAAATCTCTTTATGGATTAGTTTAAGAATCTATAGTTAAGAAGTATGTTAAGCATTAATCTATATTTCTTAGTGTGTAACGTTGGCAATTGAATATGCTAGTCTGGAATTTAGAAAGGTTTGGACTTGTGTTATAGCTTGAGAGTCATTATAGTGTACTTATTTCAAGCTGTATTAATGATACTGGCTTAGAAAGTATGTAAAAATAGATGAGAACAAAGTAGAGAGTGGAATTCTTGGAAATACTAGCATTTAGGACAGGTAAGAAGGAGGTACCATAGGAGATAGATAAGCAGTCAAAGGCTCAGGAAAACACTGCAAAACAAATGTCCTTCTAATTTTGCGGCCAGGTGTGGTGGTTTACACCTGTAATCCCAGTACTTTACTTCGGGAGGCTGAGGCAGGAGGATCGCTTGAGGCCCGGAGTTTTAGACCAGCCTGGGCAATGTAGTGAGACCTTGTCTCTACAAAACAATTATAAAAATTAACCAGGTTTGGTGGCATGCACCTGTAGTCCCCACTACTTGGGAGGTTAAGGCAGGAGGATTGTTTGAGACCAGGAGCTGAAGGCTGCAGTGAGCTATTATGCTATTGCACTCCAGCCTGGGCAACACAGTGAGACCCTGTTTGTAAAACAAACAAAAATTGGTACATAAGAAATAATTGGTGACCTTAATTAGGGCAATTTCATTGCCTTATTGAGCACACACATGTGAATCGAGGAGTAATTGGGAGGTGGGAAGGAGCTGCTAACATTTGATTATAAGTGATCATTTACAATTTAAATATGGATTACCATATTTATTTTTTCAGCTTAGACATTTCAATTGGCTTTATTTGCAATTCTAGAATCGGGTAACACTTCATTCCATAAAATAGGATAAAAATATTTCCCATATTTAATTTTATTGTAACTTTTTAAGATAAATCTGATTGTTCCATTTTACAGATGAAGAGGAAACTAAGATTTAGAGAAGGAAAAAATTTCCCTTAAATCAGATAACTCATAACAGAACTGGGGTTTGAATTTATGCCTGTCCATGCTTCTCCATTTACTGCAAAGGCAGAAAGGAAATGAAGGTATCTGTAGACTGTTTTTTCAAATGGTAGGTTTTCACTACAGAAAGGAAGGAGAAATAGTGTGATATTTTGGTTTTTTTATTTATTTAAATTTAAATCTAATTTAATTAATGAATTTATTTTTTATAGATAGAATCTCACTCTTTCATCCAGGCTGGAGTGCAGTGGCCTGATTATAACTCACGGCAGCCTCAAACTCCTGAGCTCAAGTCATCCTGCGGCCTCAGCCTCTGTAGTAGCTGGGACTATGGGTGCATGCCACCATGCCCAGCTAATCTTTTAAAAAGGTTTTTGTTGAGATGAGGTCTCACTGTTATGCCCAGACTGGTCTAGAACTCCTGACCTCAGGGAATTCTCCAGCTTTGACCTCCCAAAGTGCTGGGATTATAGGTGTGAACCTTCACACCTGGCCAGGTTTCTTTCTTTCTTTTTCCGGGGGAGAGGGGAAGAAGGGGAAAAAAAAAGATCTTTCTTTAAATCAGTTTCTTTGAAAGAGTAAGATATAGTAGGAATCTAATATGGGATCTAAAATTATGATTTAAATATAGAGCATGTATTTTTATTATCTTTTTTTAGATTTAAAGAACATGTACAGAATAACTTACCTAGAGATCTTTTAACTGGTGAACAGTTTATTCAGCTACGAAGGGAATTAGCTTCTGTAAATGGGCATAGTGGTGATGATGGTCCTCCTGGTGATGACCTACCATCGGGAATTGAAGACATAACTGATCCAGCAAAGGTAATCAGACTTATTTAAAAATTCTTCAGTGCGTGAGAAACCAGACCCTATATCCCTTGATTACATGTGTGGCACAGTGATGAGTTATACGGCTGGCTCTTTAACTATTGACTTGTAGCTTGTACAAAGTTAATTTCTGATTAAGACAAGTGGGGATTCTTTAGCAGATAAGGTTTAAATAATAGGTTTATGGTAAAGAATCCATTTTAGTGTTGTTAATTGGACTTTGCACTTAACTTTAGCTAACATTAAAAACCCACTACTTTGTAAGACCAAAGCATCTGTGGATAATACTTAAATGTAAGCGTAATATTGAAAAATTTCAGTATATAGCTTGTGAGATTTAATTTTTTTCTTTTTCTCCCCAAGCTAATTACAGAAATAGAAAACATGAGACATAGAATCATTGAGATTCATCAAGAAATGTTTAATTATAATGAGCATGAAGTTAGTAAAAGGTGGACATTTGAAGAAGGTGTAAGTGGCTTTGTTTTGTAATAGTCTTTAACATATAAAGCAAGAATAATGTATTTTTCTTTCAGTTTTGATAGGAATGTCTCTAGTGTAACTTTATTTTTGCATATTTAAGTAATAACTTAAGATGTTCATCTCATTTATTACTACTGTTATCAATTTTATCATTTTCCATTATCAATTTTAGAATCTTATTGAATTCAGACTTGAATTGCAAGATACCTGCTTAATCTGAGCAATTTATTATAATCGTTCAATTTGTTTAATCAACTTCATTGGGTTATACTTTACATACACTAAAATATACGCATTTTAGGTACATAATAAAATGAATTTTTTCCCCACAGTTTTCTTTGTTTTTTTGACAGCTTTACTGAGATATTATTCACATGCCATACAATTCACCCATTTAACGTGTACAATTCTGTAGTTGTTAGTATATTCACAGATACATACAACCATCACTACAGTCAATTTTAGAACATTCTCACTCCCTCAAAAAGAAACCCCTTACCTTTTTAGCAATCACCACCCCAACCTCCTCAGCTGTGATTTCCACCCCCCAGCTCTAAAGTACCACTAATTTACGTTTTGCTTCTATAGATTTCCCTATAATGTCCTTTTATAGAAAAAGTTTGCCAAACTCTGCTTTACATAATCCCTCAACACTCAATTCCTGTATTTTTATCCTGAAATAACTGAAAATCTCAAAATATCAACTGAATTTCCTCATTCTTACCCTGCTGTTCCTCAAAAGCTGCCCAAAGCATATGCACCATGGGTGAATGGAATCATATAGTGTGGAATCATTGGACAAATGTATATACATTGTAATCATCACAACAATAAAGATACAAAACTATTCTATCACCCCCAAAGGTCCCCTTGGCCTGTCTATGTTCAGTGCCTCCCACCCCACTCCTAGCCCTAGGCAACCACTGATTTTTCCGTCACTGTGGTGTAATTATTCAATTTTAAAATACTCAACAAAGAATAAAATATTCTGTACATAAAAAGTTTGTGATTCTATTAAAATGGCTGTGAATAAATGGAAAATATATTCTGTTTCTTTCATTTGTAAAGCCTAAGGAGGTTAAGGGATTTTAATTTAAAAAATTTTTAAGGCCAGGTGTGGTAGCTCAGGCTTGCAATCCTAACACTCTGGGAGGGTGAGGCAGGAGGATTACTTGAGCTCAAGAGTTTGAGACCAGTCTGAGCAAGAGCAAGACCCCTTCTCTACTAAAAATAGAAAAACTAGCCAGGCATCATGGCACGCACCTATAGTCCCAGCTATGATGACACTGTTGCACTCTACCCAGTGCGACAGAGCATGACTTTGATTAAAAAAAAAAAAAAGTTTAAAAACATTTAGAAATATGGTGATTAGATTTTTTTGGATTCATCATTAATCGTGTGTTTAAAGTAATTTGTATTATTACTGTATTACTGCATATATTGGTGTAGGTATTGGTTTACTTTCATTGCCATGTTACAATTTCATTACAGATTAAAAGACCTTATTTTCATGTGAAACCATTGGAAAAGGCACAACTAAAAAACTGGAAAGAATACTTAGAATTTGAAATTGAAAATGGGACTCACGAACGAGTTGTGGTTCTCTTTGAAAGATGTGTCATATCATGTGCCCTCTATGAGGAGTTTTGGATTAAGGTAAGAAAATTATATGGTCTTAAACTTGAATATATTATAAACATTGATCTAGTGACTAACCTTTTTTGTACTTCTGTTGAATGTTGTTCATATAACTATATCTGTTGCATTAGGAGATGGTCTGCTTGCAACCAGATTTGACTGCTGCATATGCCAACCTCGTTGCCTCTCTTCGTCCTTCCTTACAGAAACTAGTCTAGTGGTTCAATAAAGGTGCTGAATGGGTTTAAAAATAGAATTTTATCGTTCTGTCACATATTTACTGGCTTGTTCAACGGTAAATTATTCAGTATTTCCTTTTTTCTGTATGTAGTATGCCAAGTACATGGAAAACCATAGCATTGAAGGAGTGAGGCATGTCTTCAGCAGAGCTTGTACTATTCATCTCCCAAAGAAACCCATGGTGCATATGCTTTGGGCAGCTTTTGAGGAACAGCAGGGTAAGAATGAGGAAATTCAGTTGATATTTTTGAGATTTTTCAGTTATTTCAGGATAAAAATACAGGAATTGAGTGATGATGTAAAGTAGAGTTTGGCAAATTTTTTCTATAAAGGGCCAGATAGTAAATATTTTAGGTTTTGCAGGCCACATGGTCTCTTTTCTAACAACTCAACTCCACTGTTATAGCCCCAAAGCAGCCATAGACAATCAAAAAAAAAAAAAATACATAAATGAGCACAGCTATTTCTCATTACTTTTACAAAAACAGGCAGAGGGCTGGATTTAGCCCATGGGTGGTTGTTTGCCAATATCTGGCATAAAGTATATTTCAGAAATTTAAACAAAAGCATAAACATTTAATTACCATTTCTAGGTAATATTAATGAAGCCAGGAATATCTTGAGAACATTTGAAGAATGTGTGCTAGGATTGGCAATGGTTCGTTTGCGAAGAGTAAGTTTAGAACGACGGCATGGAAATATGGAAGAAGCTGAACATTTGCTTCAGGATGCCATTAAGAATGCCAAATCAAATAATGAGTCTTCGTTCTATGCTGTCAAACTAGCCCGACACCTTTTCAAAATACAAAAAAATCTTCCAAAATCAAGAAAGGTGCTTTTGGAAGCAATTGAAAGAGACAAAGTATGTATTTGTATTTTTTAGGATAATTTCTGTAAAACATCATTGGTCAGTTTTCTTTCACTTTGGCAACTGTGATGAAAGATTTGGTCTGTATGTAATATATTTTATTACTAAATGAGGACAACAGTCCCTCTAAACTGATGTTGCCATTTAAAAAAAGTTTTAAATTATTTTGAATTAAAAGTTTGAGAAAATTAAGATTATTGAGCTAAAAAGTGAAGACATGATACTTTCTATTTTCTCTTTAGAAATTTTACAGCAAATTTACCGATTTTTAAGTAGAACAGAGGGCCTGGAAGAACATTTCATAAACAAAAGCATAGTAGTTGCCTATATTGTAGCAGATGTAGCAGTGAGATGATTTTCCTTTTCCAGAGTATTTCTTTTTATATCAATTGATAAAAGGTAGTACATAGGAAATTCCTCATTTTTTAGGTTTTTAACTATTGCTAGGTCTGGTTAAGAGACCGTCTTAGAGGCTGGGTGCAGTAGCTTATGCCTGTAAATTTAGCACTTTGGGAGGCTGAGGCAGGAGGATCACTTAAGGCCAGGACTGTGAGACCAGCCTAGGCAACATGGTGAGACCCCATCGCTACAAAAAATTTGAAAAATTAGCCAGGCATGGTGGTGTGCACCTGTAGTTGTAGCTACTCAGGAGGCTGAGGCAGGAGGATCATTTCATCCCAGGAGTTTGACTGTACTTCAGCCTGGGTGACAGAGTGAGACCCTGTTTCAAAAAAAAATTTATAACAGTTTGTTTCCAGCTGCAGTTTAAGATGTTTGTCCACAGTTGCAGTAAAGATTTAAATTATTCGAACCATAGAGATCATTTTTTTATGTTTTATTTTCTAATTGTGATGGTAGGTTAAGTCATATAAACCCAAGATAGGATATAGAGTTTTAATTTATTATCATTTAACAATTTGCATAGTTTGGGGAGATACGAGGATGATGTCAGTACCTATCAATGTGCTAATTAATTTTTTTCACCCTTTTAGATGTATGCTGAAAACATTTAGTATATTTTAATGCAATATAATTTTCAGTATTGAGACATAAAAATTATGGCATTTTAAATATCTGTGCTCTAATCAAAATATTTTAGAAATGTTATTAATTGATACTGCTTTTTACACAGGAGAACACAAAGTTATACCTCAATTTACTTGAAATGGAATATAGTGGCGACCTCAAACAAAATGAAGAAAATATTCTAAATTGTTTTGACAAAGCTGTGCATGGTTCACTACCTATTAAAATGAGAATTACATTTTCTCAGAGAAAAGTGGAATTTCTTGAAGATTTTGGTTCAGATGTTAATAAGTAAGATCTTAATTACGTTATCTATTTGAATTATCAATGAGCATTGATATTTTTGTATGGGAATTTGATGGTTAGTACAGATTAATACATTGTTAAATTTTAAAATGTTTCCTGCTTAGGTTTCTTTTTCCTCAGATATATGTGGAGAATGTAATACAATTTTGTAAATGTATATGTGCTTAACAGGAGGACATATGGTTTGTCTTTCCTTCAAAACTGTTTTCCCAGTTTTAGAATGATATTTTAAACCATGAGTGAATGAAAGAAGGCAGGAAGCAGCAATTCGTGAAAAGGGCAGTGAGACAAGGATTGAACCCTGAAACACATAACCATTTAGTGTATAAGTGAATAAAGATGGATGGGGTTAATCTGGAATAGGAATGCCGTTTTATCTGAGGTTGGAGAAGAGGATGGAAATAGTCCCACACATCTTGCCTAATGGCCTCATCTTCTTGCATTGTAAAAGCCTGAAAGTTGAAAGTAGTAGAGGGTTTATTCTAAGGGATTTGGGAAGAGTACAAGTTTAATATTTAAATTTGCTAATTAAACAAGAGTAGAAATAATTGGCTAGAGCATTGCTAAAGTCCCAGCCTTATCTGATTGTTTTAAGGAAGTATTTCAGTGCCTCTTAGGCATGTGCCTTCTCTGATTATTCTCATTTAGAGTGATTTCCATTGAAACCACTATAGATAAACAGAATTACTTGTTATCCCTTTGTATATATTTTTGATGGCTTTGTAAAATTTCAGTTAAACTTGTATTAACAGCTAATATTTATTGAGTATTTGGCATCATGCTAAGTGTTTTATATATTTAATATCTAATGTAAAATCATAGTGTAATGAGGGGGGTATAGGTTTTGTTCTCTGAATAGATGAAGAGAGGATTAAAGAGAGATTAGGCAATTTCTCCAAGGTCTTTTAATTAGTTATTAGTACATGTGGACCTAGGATCAGAACCTACTTCAAAGTTTCTACTCTTTACTTCATGTGCTGTATATCTAGTGTTTTCTGTTTATTTTACACTGAAGAAGGTATACAAAAGAAACAAGATATGTAATTCTAGGTTTTAGTCTAGTTGAATGGTATGATTATCAGAGGAAATAACTAAATGTATGTGTGAGGGAGCATATAACTGTTAAGAAGGCTATGATCTCTGGATCAGAACGGATTTGTCATGCTTCACAGAGGAGGTGGTTACTTTTAGTTACTACTGGATTCTCATAAGCTTGGGGAGAGGACACAATGACGGAAGCAAGTTACAAGTTCATACAAAAGTAACATGCTTGATTGGAGGATTTTTTAAGTAGTGTGAGTATAATTTTGATTGTGCTGTGCCTTCAAAGCTAGACTGAGTTGAAAAGCACATGTAAGCAGTTGACAGTAGCAAGTTATTGGAATTTTGACCATTTATGAAATGAAATGACATTATTTTAATTTGGCAGTAATAGGCAGAGAAATTGGAGGTTCAACACGATTTCATTTAGTCTATTGCAAGTAGACATATGGAGGGTCTGAGTATCCAGACTAAGATTATTGTAGTTGAAATTTTAAAAGGAATATGAAAAATAAATAAGCCACTTAGAAATTTACTTAGGCAGTTTCACTAAGTGGAAACAACTTAAAATCTTAAAAAGAAAGGTTCGATTTTTGTATATTCCAGAGGATTTTTTTTTCTTCTTTCCTAGGCTTCTGAATGCTTATGATGAACATCAAACACTCTTAAAAGAACAGGATTCTTTAAAAAGGAAAGCAGAAAATGGGTATGTAGCTTCTAGCTGAATCAGAAAGGGATGCTTAAAAGAAATTTCATTGTGGAAATGCCTTTAAAGACAAATATTTTTAAGTGTTACCTTTATGTTGTAATTTAGATGCCTTATGATTTGCAAAAATCTTGGGTGGTTGAAACCTCAAGTAAAACAAATATACACAGATGACATTCATCTATTTGTCCAAGTTCTCATCTGTGGGAGTTTTGAAAGTTTCCATTTTGGCCTTTTATCTAGATCAGAAGAACCAGAAGAAAAGAAAGCACACACAGAAGATACAACTTCATCATCTACACAGATGATTGATGGTGATTTACAAGCAAATCAAGCTGTATATAATTATAGTGCCTGGTATCAAGTGAGTCCACATAATTATAATTCTTTGCTCATAGATGTTATTAGAAGTTTAAATCAGGACTTTTTTTTTTTTTTTTAGAAAAACATCTCTTTGCTTTTGTTCCAGATTGTATAATACTTCGTCTTTGGTGGTGAAGTCAGAATTTTAGCAATGAGCACAGGCTTATTTTTTTAAACATAACTGTTTTAATTGTATTTTTTATATATGGAACTCAGCCATAGTTTTAGTATGCTAACATGTTTACTTGTTTCCTTTCAGTACAATTATCAGAATCCTTGGAATTATGGACAGTATTACCCTCCCCCTCCAACCTGATGGGAAAGTATAAATTTCAGATGGAATGTGTGAAAAGTATGAAATTATTTTTTTTTTAAATGAGGGATGTAAACATAGCATACGCTTGTCGTATTTGATAACTTGTCTTCCCTGTTTCTGTGTAACATGATTTGTTTAGTAATAGGGGAAAATGTTAGTTACTAGCTTACCGCAGATACTATTTCCTACCATTTGTAAAGTTTACTTTTTATTGGAGAACTATTTTTTTGATTTTTGCATTACGTGGTCTAGAATTCTTCTGCAAGACATTTGCAAGAGTTTTGTAGCCTTAAGGGTAGGAAAAAAAACCTGACTGCAAATCATGTCAGTGTAGTACAAGATTTTAAAAACACATAAGGGCTGGTTATTAAAGATTTACTTCCTCTGTTAAAAAAAAAAAAAAAAGGATTTTTAACCTTTGCTGACAAGGTTTTTGTCTGCGTGTTTGAGTTATACTTGTGAATTGTGATCTAACTGCAGAAAACATACATTATTAAAATACTATGACTTGGAATAGAGATTATAAATGAGAAATGAAATGTTTGCATCCCTTTAAAAAATGAAAATCATATCAAAAATATGTCATTTCAGGAGACTTTGTATTTAGAATATTCATGTAAAACTTGTGAACAAGCTTTCATTTTGATCAAACTGATCATCTTCATTTTTGTAATAAAACTGAAGACTTATCCAGTAATCGTTTATGAATTTATTTTGGGGGGGCTCAACTAATATCAACTTTATATTCAGCTTTATTAGTGGTTCATTGGTTTTGAGGTGCACTTTTCCTAAATTTAGCCATTATCTTCCTGCCAGTATTTCTTAGACCTCTTAGCTTTTTGCTTCCTTTAAGCTCTATGCTTTTGCCTTCTCACTATACAGGAATATTTAAAGATTTTATGAGTGTCTCTGACAAATCTGTCTAGACAGCTATACTGTGAGTTACTCCCTGGTATGATGAGGTCTTAGTCCTGATTATCTAATCAGAACAATAATATATTAATACCAAACAAACAAATCACATGAAGACAGTGGATAAATTTTTATTGAGCCTTTTAGTTTACAACATGAGGTAAAAGGAAAACGTTTTCCTTGACCAATATTGTACACAGCTGTAGTAAAATATTTGACTTCGGGGATTTATAAGGATTACATTTCTCAAAAGTTGGGGTCAAGTAAACAAGTTTTAACTTAATTCCTTGAATTTTCCAGTTGACTCTTCCCTTACAATAGCAACAAGCTCTCATTAGTTACATAAGTTTCTTCAAGGCCAAGTTTTATCATTGCTGATGTCTTTAGAACTGAATCTGCTATTTCAATCAATATCCACTAGTTCTACTTCAAAAATGAGTTTTGCATTTGGTGGAATT